GCTAAGGTGAAACTAGAACTCACTGTCTCCTGGTGCTTAGCCTAAAGCCACCTAGCCGGCTTTCATGCCCAAGGCAGGACTAGAATTCACCATTTCTGGTGATTCACCCAAAGTCACCCAGTTGGCTTTTTTGGCTACGATCAAACTAGAACTCATCATCTCCTGATGATTAGCCTAAAGTCACCCAGCCAGCTTTCATGCCTAAGGTGGGACTAGAACTCCCTTCACCTGGTGATTCACTGAAAGTTATCCAGCTGGCTTTTTGGCTAAGGAGGGACTATAATTCACCATCCCCTGGTGATTGGCCTAAAGTCACGCAGCCGGCTTTCACGCCTAAGTCGGGACTAGAACTCCCCACTTTCTAGCCTTAACCATGAGACCAAATTCAAGCCTATTCTCCCCCTCGCCATACTCCCGTTAGGTTACCTGGTTAGCCGCCATGGACGAGCTGTTTTTGACCCACTCTTCCACAATTTTGACCACCGCCCGCAGGATTTTGGCATCGCTAGATTTTTCGATCAGCGAGGTCAGGATGCCCTGAATGAAGTTCTTCCTCATCTCCATGCTCATCATAGCCAGCCGGGTCTTCACTAAATCCAAACTCAGCATAACCAGCTCACTGGTGCCAGCTGCAAACACAACCAAGATAGCAACCAGGATCGGGTGTGGTTCAACCAACAGGCCGTGGTTTAAGGCACGATTCAGTGCCTTAAATCCAGCTTAACACGACGAGGGCAGAGAATCCTTTATTTCTTTATTATTTCTTTATTCAAGGAATGGATACAGCCTCCCAACTCACAAAGGCAGCTTCCAGCATTAATGTCTGCGGAGATTCTTAGTCCTCCAAGTCATGGGTGTCCCAAAGGTGCATTTTCAAGAAGCAACTGGATATTTTCTTGTTTTTTCTTTGAAGACGTTTCGCTTCTCATCCAAGAAGCTTCTTCAATTCTGACGACGTTCTTCTCAGAACTGAAGAAGCTTCTTGGATGAGAAGCGAAACGTCTTCAAGGGAAAAAAATAAAGTCCAGTTTTGCCTTTTGAAAAAAAGCACCTTTGAGGCTTGCAGCATTAAGAATCCATGTAGTAAAACCCACAAAACCACCACTCAACAGAGGCCACAGATATAATCACGCTAGCCACCCGATTGCCTCCATAAGAGGGAATATAAGAAGGAATAAGAAAGATCTTCCAATCTTCTTTATATGAATAGTTCACCTGAGCAAGTTTTCTCAGGACAGGAAATGATAGCTATGAAAACCAAATCCTTGCATAAAACCAGCCAAACTCAACATTTTAAGGATCAAAATTGTTCTAGACTAAAACATATGAAGAATAGTTACAGGAACTGGGCTTGGCTAGTCTAGGGAAGAGAAGGACCAGGGGAGACGTGACAGCAGTCTTCCAGTATTTGAGGGGCTGCCCTAGAGAGGAAGGGGTCAAGCTATTTTCCTAAGCACTTGTGGGCCAGACAAGGAAGAATGGATGGAAACTGAACAAGGAGAGATTCAACCTGGAAATAAGGAGGAATTTCCTGAGAGTGAGAACCATCAACCCATGGCACAGAAGTTGCCTTCAGAAGTTGTGGGAGATTCATCATTGGAGGCTTTCAAGAAGAGACTGGACTTCCATCTGTCAGAAATGGTGTAAGGTCTCTTGTTTGAGCAGGGGGGTTGGACTAGATGACCTACAAGATCCCTCCCAATTCTATTAATCTGTTCACTGTCACCCACCTGTGTTGGCTTCCACAGTCCCTGACTGAGCCTGCTGGTTCAGATGCTCCCTCACCATCTTCTGCAGGGATCTCATGAAGACCGAAATAAGCCTGTCGATGTAACTGGGATTATTGCTGCAGGCAGATTTGAGGATCATTAAAGTACCTAAAAGATATAAAGAAAAAAGAACTGGGCGTTATTGGGAGAATAAGAAGAGGGTCGAACTCATCTGTCTTCTTCAACTGGCCTCAACTAGTGGCAGATAGGAAAGCTCTCCAGAGGGTTAACCGTCATTGCCCAGAGGATCATGGGTTGCCCTCTCACCTCTTTGGAAGAGCTTCATAGCTCCCGCTGCCTTAAGAAAGGCTTACCAAAAAGCTGAGAAGGGTTTGCGCTGGCAGCTTTTTCATAGTTGGTGAGTCCTTCATAAATAACCTTCCCAACAGCCGCATAGAGACATTCCAATTCTTCATACTTGGAGGCCACGCTTGAGGTACCTACACAAGAGTAGTAGACAAAACGTTGAGAGGTTCACATGAGTGGGATTCTCCGACTTTTAGCAAGCGGGCGGTGTGTTTTCTCTCTAATTTATTGACAGCCCACCTTTTATTATTTGTACAAATGACTTAAGGCATACCCAGTGCATCTTCCTCCTCCTATTTTCCACACAACAACAGCCCTGTGAGGTGGGTTGGATTGAATAGAGACCCATCTGGCATGTTAAGCATGGCGAACTAGAACTCACTGTCTCCTGGTGATTGGCTCAAACTCACCCAACTGGCTTGTATGGCTAAGGCGGGACTAGAACTCACTGTCTCCTGGTGATTGGCTCAAACTCACCCAGCCAGCATGTTAAGCATGGCTAAGGCGGGACTAGAACTCACTGTCTCCTGGTGATTGGCTCAAACTCACCCAGTCCGCATGTTAAGCAAGGCTAAGGCAGGACTAGAACTCACTGTCTCCTGGTGATTGACTCAAACTCACCCAGCTGGCTTGCATGGCTAAGGCGGGACTAGAACTCACTGCCTCCTGGTGATTGGCTCCAACTCAAACTAAATGAATCTGGTTTCCCCATTGGCTTGGCAGAAGGTTGCAAAAGAGGATCACATAATCCTGGGACACTGTTAACCGTCATAAATATGAGTCAGCTGCCAAACGTCTGAGTTTTGATCACATGACTGTACGAGTTCTGCTATGGTCATCATGGTCATCATCATCTTCTTCTTTTAATGACCCCATAATCCCTTACGGGGTGGAATCCGGGCAACTGAATGGAGCTAGCAGAGTGTTTTAATGGCCGGATGCCTTTCCTGTCCCCAATGCGGAGTTTTGTTCAGCAGCTATATTTCTCATTGTGCCCAGAGAGAGAACTCACAGCCTCTTGATTGTGAGGCAAGAGCTTCACCTCTAGGCCACCGCACGGTCGTTGTGAAAAACTATCTTAAGTGCTGTTTTAACTTTGAACAGCCACTAAATGAACCGCCGTAAATCGAGGGCTACCTGTGCTCAATTTAATTGCCATCATGACGCTGCAATCATCATCCATCTCTCTATTTAGCAGACAGATGAGGCCTCACCTCAAGCCAGAATTGGCCAAAGAGAGTAACGTGTTCACTTCTCTACGTCTTATCAAAAGTCTCTTTTTACGCCTAATTTCCCTTCCTAGTCTTATTAATACAGCCATGTTCAACAACTGAGGAAAAAACGGCACTTTCAAAACATGGGGGGGGGGGGGGAACCCTGTAATTGCAAAAAAAAAAAAAAAGACATTAAATTTATGACATGCATTTCTTGAGCCAAAGTAATAACTGCCACAGGTTATTAAGTTTTTATGCCACCGGATAATGATGTATTTCTAGTGGTTACCTAATTCCGCTTTTTAAAAAAAAATTAAATTAAACTGGGGGATGTGAGTGCCACTTTCAAAGGAAAATAAAATGATCTTTCTCGTGTCGCCTTTCTCTGTTGTGCTTGTTTTTTATGGACTTCTTTATTTTAAGTCCGTCAAAACAAGCACAACGGAGGAAGGCAACATGAGAGAGATGCTTTGCCCCTGGTTCTTGGTCTCCCATTTTCAAGGAGGACCCCAAAAGTCCATTGTTGTGGCTTGCCGGCAGAGCTGACAACAGATTCGGACAGTGAGGAGGTTGAGGAGGAACACGGGCCAGTCCTGGAGGCTGAGGAAGGCTCTGTATCGGAGGCAGAAATGGGGCCAGGGCCATCCAACAGTTATCAGCTGCCTTCAGAGTTGGAGATCAGTGAGGAAGAAGAACAGCTGGAGCCTGTTCCCAGTGTGTGCATGCACAGAGCTGCCAGGTGAAGGAAATAGCTAAGGAACAAGAGTCGGCTCGGGAGTAAAGCCACAGTTAGACAGTAAATGGCCGCTCCCATAGGAAATAAAAAGGAGTGAAAGGGGGGTGGTGTTTTGCAGGAGGCAATTAGTTCAGTTCGTTTGGGTGAAGATCTGTTCCTGCATTCTTGCCAAGTATTGTCTGCTACAGTGTGGCATCTGAAAGATATAGGCCTGGCAGCTCTCCAAACCTGATAAAGGTCTGTAATGGAGAAATCTCTTGAAAGACGGTTGGACGGAACTTTGCTGAAGAGGAAATCACTGTAAACTAAATAAAAAAGGGTTTTATTGTGCTGTTGGGGAAGCCTAGGTCAGAATAGCCGCCTCCATTCCCTGCGGTCATGACGTACTTGGTTCAGTGGGGAAGTTGCTCATTAAGCGCGAAAGGAGCGTGTGGACGGCTCGCAAGACCTTCGTGTTCCCGCATGTCATGCAGGAGGCTATCCCTCGTTGAAGTGGTTTGAAGCTGCTCAGAATCACCGAAGACTGGAGGACGGTGAGCAGGAAACTGAGGACTTCCAATCCGGTGCAGATGTTGGCAAAGTTGGCTTGGTTGGGCTGTTCCTGGAACAAAACGTGGGCAAGAAAAAGAAGAGTTGAAGGCACAACCCCCAAATTCACGTTGCATGGACCTCTAAGGTGGCTTCCAGTGTTTCCATTCTTACAAGGTGTCCTTCTGATCTGAGTTTGGTTCTTCAGGTGGCGCTGCATTGAAGCTTCTAAGTGAGCTTCACTAAGGATCAGGCTGGTTGGGACTTGCTAAGGTCACAAGTTCCCTTTTTCTTTGTGTAAGTGAAGACTCCATCATCCAGGCCAAAAGTATCTCCAAAGATGAAATTTTGGCAATTGTGGACCAAAGTTGGTTAGGCATGGAGTCAGAGAGTCTTTCCATATGGGATGACTGAGTCTTCATTTACATATTTACATTTCATTTTGCAATCAGTATGGCAAAAATTAGTACATTCCAACCACTCTCTGCGTAGCCAAAATTTTTCATTTTCACTAAAGAACTTACTTGGATGAATAACAAAACATCTCTGTTTAATAAACTTTGCCCAGTTGCCATGATGTCATCTTTTTAGAGTCCCTTTCTTTGTTTTAATTCTTTTTTGTGTGTGTGTTTTAAAAAGTTTTTAGTTAATATCTAAAAATCCATTTGTTCAGTGCGTTGTCTGAGTACAATCAATCTTGAGAAACTGTAATCAGAATAATAACAATAATATTCAGTGTAACGTTATTATTGGCCTCATATTATTTCTCTATCCAGTGTAATAAATCTTCCTTCTAAGATCAATCCTTCTCTTATGTTTCCATGTTTCTAACTTCTGTTTTTTATTGTCTAGCTCCCAAACATCTGCCTTTTTGGGATGCATCAGCCCCTGAGGTCAAATCACAAATGAGTTAAGAGAAGCCAGTTGTTTTCAGAAAACATGTTCCCAGTTGGGAACTGTCTTCCTCAGACAAGCTTGCCTGAGGTCTAAATTAGAATCTTCTGGATGCTGGTGACAATGGACATCTCAGACAAAGGGAAGTCCACCACCCCAACAGATGCAAGACCCAAACAGACACAGAGATGGTTGAAATCTAGGAATGGGCAACGTTTTATGTAGTTCCACCCCATCCACACACTGTCCTCTTATCAACACCATCAATTTAACATGTTGCTAGTCTCAAAAACACGTGTGAATCGTTCCTCAGATCCAGCTTTTCTCCTCCTCCCCAGAAAAGGCCAAGCATGAGACATGAAGGGAGATCTGAGTCTGCAGAGTCCAACTCCCATCATCCACAGCTAGAAGAGCCTACGGTCTAGCTAGCAAAAGTGATCACAACACATTGAGAGCCAAAGATCCTCACTCCCACTACGCCCTACGGCCAACAAGGTGTCCCAAGGACGACTTGGGAGTTTCTCTTTTTTTGCTTCCGACATGTGTTCCTGGATGCAGGACAGAAAAATCTGACAATTTCCAAAATGAAAGACCTACATTCAATTATTCAGAGCAGGAGAAAAGCAGCCAAAAATCGTTATTCTAGTCTATATAATGGCACTTCATTGATGAAAAAGGCAAAATATGGACACGGCAGGGGTTGAAAGATTCCTTTTGATCTTAAGTTTCTTCCAAAACATACACAGAAAACATCTCAAGTTCACATATCAAACAATCGAAGTGTGATTGTAATAAAAGTCAATCTTTAAAAGAGAGAAAGAGAGAGGGAGAGGAAGAGAGGGAGGGAGAAGGAGGGAAGGAAGGAAGGAAGGAAGGAAGGAAGGAAGGAAGGAAGGAAGGAAGGAAGGAAGGAAGGAAGGAAGGAAGGAAGGAAGGAAGGGAGAATTGTACTTAGACCCCAAAAGAATACCCCAAAAGTCCAAACTTAAAACTCTAAACCCTACTTTCTCCCTTCCCTTCCCTCCTCCCTTCTTTCTTTGTTTCTTCTCCTCCCTCCCTTTTTCCCCTTCTCCTTCTCTTCCCCCTCCCCCCCCCCCCCCCCCAAAAAAAAAAAACCAAGAAAGTCCATTTGCCTTTTGCAAAAGCACCTTTGGGACTGATCTATGAACAGAAATCTACTCGTATGGAAAAAAGGGTGGCATTCAAACTATTCTGAGCTACTTAAGAGGAAGACTGATGCTCCCGTGAGACCCCCGACTGCAAATGCTCGACTCAGAAATAATTCTCTGGAAACTCCACCTTTTTAAAAGAGTAGCATTGGGTGGGGAGGGAAAAAAAAGACAGGCAACTAACATCTCATCAATATCCCATCTCCAGGCCTGGCATCCCCGCCTCGCGCTGTTCCTGTCCCATTCGCAGGCCGTCGACTTTTCATCCCCGCGTCCAGAAACAGGAACGAGTGTTAATTATTCGAGACGATAAATCAATCCCATTATGCTGAACATTTTCCAAGTCATGACACCCCATTAAATTGGCAATTAAAGAAGCCGACGTGACATTTTCAAGATCGCTTGCTTCCATCCACAAAAACAGCCCTCCGCAAACGATGGGGGTTTTCGCCGTTTTTTTTAAAAAAAAAAACACATTGACACTGCAGGACGACCCATAATAACAAACCAAAGGTGCTTTATGGAGCCCTTAATTACACTGATGAGGTCTTTCAAAAAGCCACAGCTCACAACTTACCACGGTCATTAGAAGCTTATCAAACCACTGCAGTTTCAGCTCCGATTTTGGCCACATGTCCTGCCGTAAAGCTGTCTTCAGAAGGTTAACGCAGCGTCGGGAGAGCACTTCTCCTGGAGAGCCAGCGGTGTTTGAGTTGTCATTTACCTAGCAATTAACCAGAATAATTACCCGGTGGCAAATATTTGTCATCATCATCTTTTAGAGCTCATTAATATTTTAAGGCCATCATCCCTCCCGGCATATGTGGGGATGACATTTCGCTTCTCCAAAACAGACCTGCGGATGACTGATTAAGGATAATGGCGTTCAATCCTTCCGGTACGTTTCTTCTGGGTGGAAGAAACGAGGTTTAGGGACCTTCACCCCCACCCACCCCCATCCCACCCCAAATCTAAAACGTTCAGTATAGTGGTAAGAAGTGGTGGGATTCAAATATTTTTACTACCGGTTCTGGTGGGCATGGCGTGGCTTGGTGGGCGTAGCGGGGAAAGGATACTGTACAACAGGGCTCTTCAAACTTGACAGCTTTAAGACATGTGGACTTCAATTCCCAGAATCCCTCCTCCAGTCATGTTAGCTCAGGGATTCTGGGAGTTGAAGTCCACAAGTCTTAAAGCTGTCGAGTTTGAAGACCTTTGATCTATTCTATCTATCTATTCTATCTACTCTATCCATCCATTCATCCCTATCTATTCTATCCCATCCCATCCCATCCCATCCCATCCCATCCCATCCCATCCCATCCTATCCTATGCTATCCTATCCTATCCTATCCTATACTCTCTCTCTCTCTTTCTTTCTATCTATCTATTCAACCTCTCTCTCCCTATCTATCTATTCCAGGGGTCTCCAAACTTGACAGCTTTAAGACTTGTGGACTTCAATTCCCAGAATCCCTCCTCCAGTTATGTTAGCTCAGGAATTCTGGGAGCTGAAGTCCACAACTCTTAAAGTGGCCAACTTGGAAGACCCTTGGGTTAGCTGATGAAAAGAAGTGAGAAGGAGGAATCGATGATTCATAGGATATAGATAGATAGATAGTGTTCCCTTCAATGGAACAAAGAAACCGTTTCTCTGATACTAATCGTGCCAGACCGCGTTCGCTTGAGAAAAGCTTCGTACCTGGCAGGCAATTCTAATCAGGAAATTGATCACTGTGTCGGTGTGTTGCTTATCGATAGACTTGGAGAAGAGAGCGTCCGCACCAGAAAGGGACTGGCTCCGCCCAAACACCTGAGGACACAGAGGACATAGATAAAGAGTTAGCCAGGTGTTACAACAGCCGAGGAGCACAGGGAAACCGCACAGCAAAAAAACTAGAATGGACCCACAATTCAAGGTGCTCTAAATATATCAACAGGCACACGGAGTCCTTCAGTTTCTCTGCATTCCTTGAGTATTCATTTTGAGGAGTGCTGAGATTTAGGGGTGATTATTTCCCCCCCTTTTTTTTGTCCTAGTGTTCTTTATTCAACAGTTTGGTCTACTGGTGAAGGAACCAGGCTAGAAACCAGGAGACGGTGAATTCTAGTTCCACTTTAGGCATGAAAGTCGGTTGGTGACTTTGGATCAATCACCAGGAGACTGGGAGTTCTAGTCCCACCTTAGGCATGAAAGATAGCTGGGTGACTTTGGCTCCAATCACTGGGAGACGGTAAGTTAGTCCAACCTTAAGACATGAAAGCTGGCTGGGTGACCTTGGGCCAGTCCCTCTCTCTCAGCCCAACCCACCTCACGGGGCTGTTTTTGTGGAGAAAATAGCAGGAGGAAAGAACATTAGCTATGTTTGCCACTTTGAGTTATCCATAAAGATAATAAATGCAGGATTAAAAATAAATACCAGAAATAAAAGTGCTCTAGGCTCCTTTGGAAGGAAAAGCAGCGCAAAACCTCAAGGGGATAAGAGAAACGAGGGACGGGTAGCCCAAACCCCAAATCCTTACCGCACTGATTGCCCCAGTCGCCGTTCGGAACCGTTTCACTTCCTGACCGGAATCCACCGACAGTCCTCTTTTCACCGCCAACGAGGCAGTACTCACACCTTCGCCACTGGCCCCCGGGTCCATGTCTGAATCCGGCTTTGGGTGGGGAAAGAAAGGAGAAAGCAGAGGCTCAGGAATTGGAAACTGTGCCCGTTCTGTTCTGACCTAGCTCCCCAGAGATGAAAAATTCTCTAAAGTTAACTCAAAGATTCCTTTATTAGGAGCGCCGGCAGTCCTGGCGAAAGGTTTCTCTCTCACCGCAGGCTAACAAGTCCGTCCAGCAGGAAGATAAATAGTTGTTTGCCACATCTATTCATCTCTGCCCCCTGCCTTTTATCCCCAGAGCTAGGGTGGGGCTTCGCTAGCAGCGGTGGCTCTTCCGTCCCAAGGACCGGCCTATAGATTTCCACTGCTCTCCTCTCCTCTCCTCTGCCTTCTGCACAATCCACATGTCAGGCACTGGACCCAGCTGTTCCTCCACTTCCTCATCCGCCACCTCCAGCCTTTTCATCTGAGGGCTGACGGAGAGCCCAGGCTCCTTTCCTCCCTCCCCCTCCCTCCCTCCCCCCCTCTCCCTCCCTCCCTCCCTCTAACTCCATTCCCTCCTCCCCCTCGGAGCTCTCAGGATGCCTGGATGCTGGCTCCCACGCTTCCTCCTCCTCCTCTGATTCAACTGCTGGAGGGGCCGGTGGCTGACAGGCCACACCACATTCGTTCCTTCCCCCCAATTCTCGCAGGCAGCTTCCTCTTGATGGGTTTACCTGCTGATCTTTGATCCGTTGCAATTCCCACTTGATGATCACTTCTGCCAGGTCCACCGCCAGCTTCCTCTGCTCGATGGTCACGCTGGGAGTGAAGCCCAACCTCTGCATGGCGCTGACCATGTGCTGCACTAAGTGGTGTCTCACCGGGTAGTACACCTGCAAAGGCGTGTCACAGAACAGCTCGGGAAAACTCCTCCAAACTCCGGCCCTTTCAGCTGATACATATATAGTATATATAGTATAGTAATAGGGCATAGGTTCTCCTGCTTGATCAGGGGGCTGGACTAGAAGACCTCCAAGGTCCCTTCCAGCTCATTTATTCCATATTACAGGTAACGGTAGTCCTTGTCTTACAACCATAATTTCCATGGCTAAGCAAGGCGGAGGTTAAGTAACACCCACTTGTCAGAAAGTCGCAACAGGTGAATCACCTGACCTCCGGATATTGCAACCGTCATAAATATGAACCAGTTGCCACTGTCTGAATTTTGACCACATGGCCATGGGGATGCTTCAGCGGCAGCGTGAAAAACAGTCATAAATCGCTTTTGTCAGTGTCGTTGAAACTTCGGCCAGTGCACAAACTGCGAAGGATTATCTGTAATTCACTGGGTTCATCCATCCCACTGCTCACAAATTGTGACCTACAATCACAAGCGGCTGCTGACCAACACCAAGGAAATTACAGGTAGACATCCAACCTCTCTTAATTGTACAGATGCCCTCCTTCGCCATTCACACATACTCTGATGCCAACCCTAGCAAACATGTGCCAAAGGTGCTTTTTCAAGAGGCAACTGGATTCATCTTTCTTTTTTGTTATCTTTTGAAGACGTTTTGCTTCTCATCCGCTAAAGCTTCTTCAGTTCTGACTTGGATGGTGGGGAACAGAAGGATTGATACTCTTTGCAGACAAAGCTGGTCATTTGCATCCTTTGTAGAGGGCCGTTGAGGCCTCTTGGAGGTTTATCTGCAGCAGATCCAAGAAGGCTCCACACCCATTTGCACTCCTCGAGCTGACCCTAAGGTTGTGGATAAGCTTCCAAGTGGCCTCAATGACTCTCTAAAAAGGAGGCCAATGATCAGCTCTGTTTGCAAGGGGTACAAATCCTTCCGTTCCCCACCATCCAGTCAGCGCTGAAGAAGCAAAACCGTTTTCAAAAGAAAAACGAGAAAGCCCCGTTGCCTCCTGAAAAGGCACCTCGGATAACTCTGACCCGGAGGATGGAGAATCTCCATAGACACTTAGCAAACATGGCCAGCGTTCATTAAGTTAGTTACCCGTTTGGGTTTTTTAACGTGCAACATATCCAGGCGGTTAAGAGTAACATAAGCAGCCCCCGCTTTGCATCACTGTTAAAAAGGCTGAGTTCACACCTTAAAGTGCTGAACTATCAGGTGTAAGATATGGACCAGTTGAGGCACCGTGTGTCCTTCTTCCACAATGATCTTCCGGGTCCAGTGAGTCAACATCTGGTGGCCATCCTCCATTCGAGCAGGTACCGCAGGGGTCAAGATAGCCATGGCTTGTCTGACAATGATCCGAGCCTCCATTGCATGCGCCTTCAAGAGACTGTGGAACACCTGAAGAGAAGCACAGAAGAAAGATGGTTAGATGGGGCAGAAGGCTAAAACATATGAAGAGGGGTTTTGCAGCAGTTGGATACGTCTAGTTTGATGAAAAGAAGAACCGGGGGTGACATGATAGCAGTCTTCTAATATTTGAGGGGCTGCCCCAAAGAAGAGGGAGTCAAGCTATTCTGCAAAGCACCTGAAGGTAGGACGGAAGCAATGGGTGGAAACTAATCAAGGAGAGAAGCAACCTAGAACTAAGGAGAAATTTCCTGACAGTTAGAACAATTAATTAGTGGAACAATTTGCCTCCAGAAGTTGTGAATGCTCCATTATTTGAGATTTTTAAGAAGAGATGGGGTTCTGGCGGTTGCCCTAATTAAATGATGAACCTCGAGCCAAACTTCAAAAGAATCCAAAAGATTTATTAGGAGCAACATGTCAGCATTATCCCAGTTAAAGCCGACTCTTGACACACACGATTTACGGTCACCTAGGACCCTGTTTCCCCCTCTCCCCCATCAATCAGATTCTCCAAAGTCACGGGCTGGGCGTCATCAATCACATTCTCCAATGAAGGATTTTCATAGACAGAAGATCCGGTAGCCTAGCTACAACCTTTGTAAGATAAGCATGGAATGTAATTCTGGTTTTTCCTCCCCCTGCTTATGGCAACTCAACATAGGAACGCTTTACGAGTTGACACTGGCACGATTGCAATGCGCATGAAATCACAGATGTGGAGGCCCATTGATTCACCTAGAGTCGAAAACAACGGCATGGATAACTTCATCGTCGTCATGCCTACCTAATTCAGACCCTTCGTCATTTACGGAAAGGAAAGTGGAGCAGGACTGGATAGCAATAGAAATAGCAATTAGATTTATATACTGCTTCACAATGCTTTTATAGCCCTCTCTAAGCTGTTTTATAGAGTCAGCCTCTTGCCCCCAACAATCTGAGTCCTCATTTTACCGAACTTGGAAGGACGGAAGGCTGAGTCAACCTTGAGCCAGTTGAGACTCGAACTACCAAATTGCAAGCAGCCGGCAGTCAGCAGAAGTAGCCTGCAGTGCTGCACTCTAACCACTGTGCACCAAGGAAGTAAGTGAGGGAGGGAAGGAGGGAAGGAAGGAAGGAAGGAAGGAAGGAAGGAAGGAAGGAAGGAAGGAAGGGCAATAACATTTAGACTTATATACTGCTTCACAGTTCTTTCCAGCCCTCTCTAAGCTGTTTATAGAGTCAGCCTCTTGCCCCCAACAATCGGGATCCTCATTTTACCCACCTCGGAAGGACGGAAGTCTGAGTCAACCTTGAGCCAGGTGAGACTCGAACTGCCAAACTTCAGTCAGCCAGCAGTCAGCAGAAATAGCCTGCAGTACTGCCCTCTAACTGCTGTGCCTCCCAGAATTACCACGATGGCGGAAGTCTGCTTCCAAAGGGAGGCCACCTCTTTATTCACCCCTCACGTACCTGCAAGACGATCTTTTTGTGGATGGCAAATTTGGCAATGATGTGAGCCAGGAGGAGGTGCCCGCTGTATTTGCAGGCCGGGTCCACGCAGGCTTTGGAGAGCAAGCAGGGCCAAGCGAAGGTCATTAGACGGCGCAGTTTGCTGTTGCGGTTCTTGTTGTTGTCGTGGATGTGGTGCGGGGCGTGCTCGACCAGCAAGGTGGCAAACTGCAGGAGGTAAATCCGGAGCGAATCCAGCATGTCGGCTTGCTTTTCTGGATCCAGAACCTGAATTGCCCAAAAGGAGGGAAGAGAAATGTCCAGAACCGCATACAGGCAGCCTTCGAAGGTACAACTACAATGGAGCCCAAAATTTCTGTTGTTATGAGAGGCATTGGTTAAGCGGGTTTTGCCCCATTTTGCGACCTTTCTGGGTGCGGTTGTTAAGTGAATCACTGCCGTTGACAAGTTAGTAAACCCGGGTTGTTAAGTGAACCTGGGTTCACCGTGGACAGAAAGACAGACATGGACATTCAGACAGACAGATTAGATAAGATGATAGATGAATAAGAGCAGAATAGAATAAGATAAAATAGGATGGGATAGAAAATAGAATAGGATTTAGAATAGAATAGAATAGAATAGAATAGAATAGAATAGAATAGAATAGAATAGAA